TAATTGATTTTACTCAATCAGTCAAAGAAGGAACATATAAATGCGACAAAGATTGTTATAAAAAATTATTAAATATTATAAAAATTGGTATCAATAAAAAGTCTGTTGTAATAGATGATAGATATGTAAATTTACTAGAAGATATATATAAAAATGGAGATTTACTCAGTTATGAAAGTGTTTTGCATTATATAGAATTAGCTGGCAAAGGTAAGGCGCATTATCTTAAAATATTAACTAAGATTGTTGAGCATGAGAATGAATTTGACTATGAGTTTGTTGAATATATTTTTAAAGCTATCAATGAGATTGATAGGATAGGTATAGGTGATAAAGAAGATATAACTAAGAATATAATATTTATACTTAATAGATTATATCTTAAATATAAAGAAGAAATCAGTAACGATAAAGATGGAGATATAAATCATTTAAAAAGAAAGCTTGAAGATGTAAAATCTGAAGGTTCAGAAAGATTGACAAAGGTAGTGAATAAATTTTTAAATGATTTAAACGAAATTAAAAATAATGATGTAGTTTTAAATAAAGATATAAGCAAGAGTCAAGAACAAAAGCTTGATAAAATATTAGGTGAAATCAGTATAAAAAAGTTAGAAAATTCACAATTATTTTATAAACAATCAAAGTATTTAATAGAGAAGTTAAATTGGAGTAAGTTAAATTTACTCCAGATAGTACAGAAATTATCCATAGCAATATCGAAGCAAAAAATATTTTTTGAGGAATATTCTAAGATATTTAAATTTATCATAGAATATCAGCTATCTGATAAAATTGTTGACAGAGAAGGAAGTACTATTCCAGACATATTAAATGACTATAAAAGTGATCAATGGGTAGAGAAAATATGGGGCTTATATAAAGATAATAACAAGTATTTTATAAAAAGTGCTTCTCAAATTATACAAGAACTTTCAAATATTCAGTTAAACAAAGAATATGGTTATGCAAATTATCTAGACAATATATTAAAGGAAATTAAAAATTTTGAAGCAAAAATACATCCTAATATAGAAATAAGGTATGACAAAATTTCAAAAAGTGAATCAAAAGAAATTAATAAATGGTTTGTTAGCGTAAATAATGACTCAGAAATAATTTTAAGTGGTAAAAATTATCAAGGGCAACAATTCAAATATGAAATCAACGAAATTTTACCTGAAGATATAAAAGAAAATTTATTGAATGTATTATTAAGAAATCAGCCATATCATACTGATTATATCAAAGAAGTTGAAAAAGCTTATTACAAGATTTATTTTACAAATTTGATGTCACAAATTAAAGAAGTTAATGATTCAAATTTGCCAGAAATTATAGCGATTTTAAAATACGCAATACATGTCACAGTGCTAGAAGGCAAATATAAAGTAAGAGATGCGCAAATTATAAGTTTACTTAATTTATATAAAAGTGGAGGTAGTAGATTAGTACAAGTTTCAACAGGAGAGGGTAAATCAATAATAATAGCAATGTTTGCTGCACTAAATGTTATAAATGGAGAAAATGTAGATATAGCAACAAGTTCTAGTGCACTGCAACTAAGAGCCGG